ACTCATAGTAACCCTATGAACAAAAGGCCTGAGGCCCCTATACAACTATCAACATTTATCAAAGTTCATAGAGTTTCCAGAGTTATGTGGTTTAAGAAGTGGATGCCACTTCTGCTTCTATTAGTAGTATAGCTGATGATATGTTCCTAAATAATTTTGTGTTGAGCTGTGTGCCATGGTCTTAATCTCAAATGATCTTGCTATGCTTTGTTTTGGTATGTACTATTGAAGAGACATTCTTTTTGTCTTTACTGACCAGAGTCTTCTAATCTTTCGCTCAGAGGATGTGTGCTTGGCCTATCTCCAGTAGCCTAATGAAAGATAGAATGTAATGAGATAGGAATTGATTAAATGTTCACTTTACAGGTGGACTTTCCTAACTCCTGCTAGTCAGTCATACTCTCACCTTGAAGACCTTCCTCTCCAACTTACTTCTACCATTCTTCCTAAAAGTAATCACTATTCTGTTTGTATCACCATATATTGGATTCAATAGAAATCAATGAATATATATAGATATTCATTTGAGTTTAGAGCAAGAGCCTGTAGTGATGAAGGAGGAAGTTCAAGTTGCTATGAAGGAATTGGCAAAAAACAAGGCTCCAGGAGTTGACTGCATACCAATTGATTTATTTCAACAAACAGATGCTGCCCTGGATGTGCTTACTAAGTTGTGCCAGGAAATCTGGAGGACAGCCAGCTGGCCAACTGACAGGAAGAGATAGCTGTTTGTTCCTAATCTAAAAGAAGGTGACCCAACAGAGTGTGGAAATTATCGAACAATATCATTGATATCACATGCAAACAAGATTCTGCTGAAAATTATCCAAAAACGTTTGGAACAATATGTCAACAGAGAACTGCCAGATGTGCAGGCTGGATATAGAAGAGGTCATGGTACTAGGGATATTATAGCTAGTGTAAGATGGATCTTGGCAGAAAGCAGAGAATACCAGAAGAATGTCTATCTTTGCTTCACTGACTATGCAAAGGCTTTTGACTGTGTGGATCACAATAATCTCTGGCTGACTCTGAGAAGAATGGGAATCCCAGAACATGTGATTGTGCTAATGCTAAACCTATACTTGGACCAGGAGGCAGTTGTCAGAACAGAGCAGGGAGATACTGGATGGTTTAAAATCAAGAAAGGGGTCCGTCAGGGATGTATTTTGTCTCCATACTTTTTCAATCTGTATGCAGAACAGGTCATCCAAGACGCTGGGCTTACAAGGAGGAATGTGGCATCAGGATTGGTGGAAGAATCATCAACAACCTGCATTATGCAGATGACACAACCCTGCTCTCTGAAACTGAGGAGGACCCGAAGCACTTGCTGCAGAAGGTCAAGGACTGACGTCTTCAATATGGATTGAAGCTCAATATCAAGAAAACAAAGGTTCTCACCACTGGGCCAATTGGCAGCATCAGTTTGGATGGTGAAGAGATTGAGATAGTTAAGAGTTTTCGTTTACTTGGCTCCACAATCAACACTCTTGGTACCAGCAGCCAGGAAATCAGGAGACTAACACATTGGGAAAGTCAGCTGTGAGCGACCTCTCAAGAGTACTGAAGTGCAACGATGTCAGGCTGGAGATGAAGGTGCGCCTGTTTCAGGCTATAGTCTTCGCAATTATGTGCTGTGCATCAGAGAGTAGGACAGTGAATAGGGATGATAGAAAGAGAATTAATGCCTTTGAGCTTTGGTGCTGGAGAAGAGTGTTGAATATATCATGGACTGCTAGGAGAACAAACAGGTTTGTCCTGGAGAGGGTGAAGCCAGAATGCTCCCTGGAGTCAAGGATTCTGAAGCTTCGTCTGACATACTTTGGGCATATTGCAAGGAGGGACTTGTCCTTGGAGAGGGACATCATGCTTGGGAAGTGGTGGGAATGAATGTGTTTGAGACAGCGAGGTTGACTCAGGACAGAATGGCATTTAGGGTTCTTGTACATAGGGTCGCTATGAGTCGCAAATGACTCGATGGCACATAACAACAACAACAAGAATATGATCACATTGTATAGAGGATTTGTTGTGAGTTAGGGATTGACTTGATGGCAGCAAACAATTTATCAGTATTTTTTTTTTACTAATTTATTTCCTTTTCTGCTCTTAAGATCACAAGTATATTCTCTTAGGGCACCTTTTAGAAGATTTGTTCTTTCTTAGTCTTTCTGGGGCTATGTTGTAAAATATATCTTTTTTTATAAGTATATTTTTTAAAAAATATATCTTTTTTTATAAGTATATTTTTTAAAAAATATATCTTTTTTTATAAATATTTTTTACTTTTGTGTTTTGTGAATAATGACCACTTTATGTTATCGCTTTTGTGTCTTTTTTTTTTAAGGCATAATACAGCACCTTTATTTTGTTCATAATTTTGTGTGTTGGTAATTGAAGGAAGGCTCAACCAAACAGGGAGAGTGCTGTTGGGTTCTGCAGTGCACTGTGACGTCACATTGCAGCTGAACAGATTTGATGACTCTACTGGGTTGAACATCCAAGATAGCGCACTCACATTGATGGCAATCACCCTTTATGTCTTCTGTTTGTTTTTCATCGTATTGCGTTGTCTACATTTTTTAGTGTAAAGCTAAATAGAAATTATATTAGCATCTATTGCATTTCTAATCTTGGGAAAAGAATAGTATCAAATTTGTTAATAGGGTTTTGGTAGATATGCTTTACAGTTTTCAGGAAATTATTACATTTCTCAAATAGGTTCAACTTTATTGGCATGTGTTAATCTTAATGCATATATTTTATTTACTGTTAGAATTTTGTTTGAGAGTTTTCCTATCTATATCAAGAAAGAGGTTGACCTGTAATTTTCTTTCTTAGAATGTTCTACTCAGATTTTATTTGAAAGTTAAATGAACTTCTGATCATCTTTTTGTACTTTACCTATCAAAATTTTATTTTTATCCTATGGCTTAATTCTTTTTAGAACCAACCGTTGATTCTATTATTTTTTTATAAATAGAGTGTTGAGTGGGTGTAAAAGTACTTTTCTTTGTTACATTCTTTGCCAAAGTATTGCTGAATGTTTTCCTTTTAATAAAATTTTGTGCCTTTCATTTTTCTCCTATTTCTCTGTCTTAGGTAGCATCTACTCAGATATATCTTTTAGCAACCCTATGTATAAAACTCTGAACTCAATTATGTGCCACCTTCTTATTCGCTGCCATGCTTAAGTCCATTGTTACAGTCATTAGATCAATCTATTTTATGAGGCCTTTCTCTCTTTTGCTGACTCTTTACTTCTCCAAACATGATGCTTTTTAGGAACTAGGCTTTCCTGATAGCGTGTCCAATATTTGGAAGACAAAAAGTTCATAATCCTTGCTTCCAAGAAGCACTCTGACTTTGCTTCTTCCTTATTTGATAGTGTCAGGCAGTAACTGGATATGTTGTTACTTGGAAACTCTGTGGTTCCTTAATCTAGGTGCTTGACATTGCTTATTCTCTGTTGGCAAGTGTACCTAGTCCCTGTAAGTTGGAAATATTTTAGAGGTAGGTTCATCTTTACAACAGTGGTTCTCAAACTTTGTTGAATGGGATAATCACACAGAAAATAGTTTCAAAGTAAAGGTACCTCACCTGTGTGCCTCATGCATAACTCAGAATCTTGATCTATGAAAATGTTACTTTGGATTTAATATTGTGATGCTGAATATTTGACATTCCAGATAGCAGCTACTAGCTCTGGTGGCCTAGCAGTAATGAGCTGTACTGCCAACCCATAGGCATCTTGTTCAAATCCACCAACTGCTCCATGGGAGAAAGCTGGCCAGTCTACACCTGTACAACTTACAGCCTCTGATAAACCGCTGGAGAGTCATCTATGAGTCAGTTCTGACTCAGCGGTGCATAATGACAAATAGAGATGGAGAGGGAGTATAGTGGAAAATTTGTGATTTGGAGAGAGATTTGTTCTGTTTTTCTTTGTCTATTATTTGTTTTATAATTGACATTTTTCTACTTTAGTAATTTGAAAGGAAAATCCAAAAACATTCACATAAAACCATCAAATCAGAACCAACTCATAACTGACCCTCTAACAGGTTTTTCAAAGGTTATATGCACCATTTTATCTTAATAAAATTCTCAAAATTCTGACATTTTTTTCTAAAGATTATAGGTAAGGGTTTATAGATCTGTACTGTAAATTCTACTAATTGAGATTAATTAATGTTAAATTAATATAAAAAGAGTATGGGTCAGTCAAAAGGGGTAAAACTCTGTCTGAGTCAGATAATAGAAACTTCTCAGTTTTGGTGAAGGTGATGCAGAACCAGGTAGCATTTTACTCTTTAAGGTTGCCATAAGTAGGAACTCCTTCAGTGATGAGTGACAGTAACAGTAATAATAAGTTCTATTTTCCTTACTTTTTTACTTGACTTGGTCTGTGTTATTTTAAAATTTAATTTTAAATTGACCTTATATTGTTATATGACTGTAGCAATATGGACTCAAGCATATCAGAGACTGTGAGGGTGATTCAAGATAAGGTGAAGTTCAGATCTGTGGTTTATAGGTCCACTCTGAGTTGTAGTGGCCTCAACGGTACCTAGCAGCAGCAACAACCTATGACCTTTAGCAGTCCTGAGCAGCATAAATGGTTAAGCTGGTGGGAGAACAATGCCTTGGGAGGCAAGCCTGATGATCTGCTTTTGAAAGATAGCCAGACTTTTCTTTCTAATCTGGCTTGGTCTGGACGCTTGTTGAAACTTGCTTTCGTTGGGTGACCACACTGTCATCCTGGCACACATTGCTTCCTGCGCCACAAATATAAGAGACACCACAATACAACAAATTGGCAATGGTGGTCAGAATGACAGTGGCTCAATAAATAGTTTATTAGATTGAAATGCATTTCCTACAATTCTTAAAACTACTTAGTCTCCCAGTGTGTTCAAGATTTTCTCTGATAAACTGAATTTTTTTATATTTCATTTGTTTTCTTTCTGTTTCAATTTCATCTTTTCTTTTTCCAGAATCAACCAGACGTATTACTGGAGGGGCTATGCAACTCTCATTTACTCAGCTAACTGTAGATTATTATCCTTATCACAAAGCTGGTATGTGTATATGAGTTCTTTTAATCGAAATCTATCTTTCAAATTACATATTTAGAGATTAGTGTTTACTTGCAGATGGGATAGTGGAAAGAGTCAGAGGAAGAGATAACAAAGGCATATGAGAAAACTCACAAGAATGATGGATATATTTATTATTATGATTGTGGTGGGAGTTAAAAGATGTGTCAAAGCATCAGATTGTACACTTGAAATATGTAGTTTACTGTCCTACTGCAATAAAGCCTAACAAAAACACCAGACCAACAAAAATAGCCATTTTATTTAATTTGTTGTTAGCTGCCACCACGTAGAGTAAGACTGATAGTGACCCTGTTGTTGTTGATTGCCTTCAAATAGTGACCCTATGAACAGAAGGACTAAAGCTTTCAAAAACTATCAACATTTATCAAAGTTCATAGAGTTTCTGGTGGCATGTTGTTTAGGAAGTGGCTGCCACTCCTGCTTCCAAATAGCAACCCTTGGAACAACCAATCTGAACTCTGTCCTTTCCTCACAATCTCTGACATGCTCAAGCCCATTGCTGGAGAAAAGAGTTTAAGGCATGTTTATCATTTCCCCCTTAGCAGTATTCTACTGAGAGAATAGAGTTGTCATAGAAAAAAAATTAATATATTTATGTTGATATTTAAATAGAATATCAGGAACATTTTACTCCTATTCAAAATGGATTGCTTTCTGAATAACTGATTTAAATCTTAAAAAAAAATTCTAGAACACAGAAGACATATATTTGTGATATTTCGTTAATTGTAATAAAACAAGTTGCTAATCAATGTGTATTTGTGAGCGGAGCTTTTAATTATATAGAAATCAGAAAAGAATATAAAACAAAATGTTATTTATTTTAGCTAGTTTATAGGATTTTAGGCATTTTTCCTTTTATAAAAATTGTACTCCTTTGTATTTTTTCATTTTCTTCTATAACAACCAAATATTGATAGGTTACTTTCTGCCACATAGTGTTAAAAAGGTTATCACATGGTTAAATGTGATCCTCTACCTGTCTCTGAATTTTGATGATATGTAGGTTGTTTTTTGTTTTTTCCAGTTGTGTATTTTTTTTTAACTCATATAAGTAAGGAAAAAAATACATTTTTAGGGCTTTTAATAACTGAAAACATTATTCTGATCACACATGTTTGTTTGCCAATATTTGTCATTTCTGTATCAGTATTTGACTGAATTTGTAGCTATATACCATTTATTATTACATATATTGTTCTTCTGACCCATAGCTAATTACATAAATTTAAAAAATTTTTAGCTATCAAAATCAAGATTCTATTTCTTTAGCTGTTTTTTGTACATACTTATTTCTCTGATTGTTAGAGTTGTTATTAGGTGCTATCAAATCACCTACAACCCATAGTGACCCAATAAGCATCAGATCTCAACTTTGACCTCTTTTGTCCTATCCTCATTATCTTTTGCTAGAGACAAACCTGATAATCTTGATTTGGTTTTTCCCCTCCAAAAACCTTTCCATCTCCTTATTACTCAATGACTTATGCCCACCTTACATATCATTAGTTGCTTAAGTGTTTGAATAATCTTTGCTTATAGACTTTTGTAATTCACGTTACAACTAACTTTTTTAAAAAAAGACTTTTGTATAATAGTATATTCTAGGATACTGTCCAGTAAAACAATTAGGAAAGAGTGACCACCAGATTAATTAAGGCTTTGATATTTCACCAAAGATGGCTTTAAGATAGACACTCTCATAAGTAATTTGCTTTTTATATTCTTTTCCCCATTTCTTAATATTTTAATCATATTTTCTTGTAAGACTGAAATTGGTAATATATGAAGGCTTTACATTCATTCATAGAAGAGGAATGAATTCCTTCGCAATATGAGTAAATCACATTGGGAGCATTATTATAAAGGAAAAGTTGTGCATTTTTCAGTGACATTATCTGTTACTCATTTTACAGGAGATAGTTGTAGTCACTGGATGTATTTTAGTGATGCAACTAAAACAAAAAATGGATGGGCCAATGAGTTGTTAAATGAATTTGAATGCAACGTTGAAATGCTTAAACAAGCTGTGAAGGACCATAATGTAGGTTCACCTCCTAAATCTCCAACACATGCCTCTCCTCAGCACACCCAAACAGGTACTATGTCTATAAGAACTCTACAGTGTTCCCCTAATTTTTAAGAGTGTGTGTGTGTGTGTGTGTGTGTGTGTGTGTGTGTGTGTGTGTGATATGTTTTCAGTAAATAAATAATGTCATTAATGCTAAAATACTTAAGCCTTTCATTCATATATAGACTTATAGACTACCTATAAAATTAATATAGATAATAATTCTTAGGTAAAATATTGTAGATTTTTGGAATGTCAGTAAATTTCTCCTTTTTTACTAAGAATTCTAGCGAAAATTTCTTGTATGAGAGTGTCTTAAAGTAATATGATTCTTGTTTAAAGGAGCACAATCATCGCAATGATTTACTTTACTATAGGAAAGGACTTTATAAGTTATTTTCTCATATAATGTCTTATTTGAGAAATTAAGTTTCATCTGAATTTCTTTTTGCTGTCTTAATAGTGAAAGAACGACTACTAAAAATATTCTTGCAGTGATATATTGAAGGGACTTTCTGTTTCCCACAGAGAAAGAATCATCTCTGAAAGGAAATTCCAGAACACATTCTGTGTTATCTCAGCAATCAAAGACTAAACTGATGTCTAGCTCTGTTGTGGTGAGACTTGCAGATTTCAATATCTACCAGGTCTGTTTTATGTAATTTTTTTAAAATTTAAAATTAAATCGAAGAAGTGCTTTCAGTATTTCCTACATATCAATCTTAGGAGTTAATGCCACAGTGGCTTAGCTTAGTCATAAGGAGTTGCACTGCCAACCCAAAAGGTGTTTGGAATCCAACACTTGCTCCTAGAAAGGAAGATGGGCACTTTCCTTCTGTGCATCTTACAGCCTCTGACAACCCACAGGAGGATTAGTTATGAGTTGATTCTAACTTGACAGCACATAATAGCAACAGATACCACTGTAAGAAGCAGCTATGGTGGCCCAGAAGGTAAGGACTTGTGATGCCCACCCACAGGCAAGTGGTTCAAATCTACCAGCTGCTATGGTGAAAGATGGACAGTTTTACCCTGTACAGTTTCCAACCTCAGAAAACCCACTGGAAGATGGGTTTTCCAGCTCCAGCTCCACTGCATGTAACAATAACAATGCTATTTTTACTTTAAAACAACAAGTTCTTTGAAATGGCTGAATTAAATGGAATAGAAACCTTCAGTCCATTAATTTGTGTTCTTGTAATCTAGAATACCTTTTTTCTCCTTTTATTGAACTACAAAAGAAATTATATGAATATATATATATTTTTTTACATTTCTGTTTGATTTTCTTTTTGTTATAAATTTTAACATGTTAGATGTTACATTATTGTGAAAGAGTAGTAACAATAGTCTCAGCCTGGAATTTATTTTTTTAAAATTTTTTTATCAGCCTGGAGTAGTTTGTTGTTGGTTTGGTTTTTTTTTTTAACTTATCTTTATTGCTTACTTATAATCAGTTATATACATTGTATTTCTTTCATGTACATTGTGTTTTATACATTCATTTACATTTTGTTTCCTTCATATGCATTGTGTTTGCCTTAACAAATTAAAAAACATTAAAATAATACAAAGTATCTTCTCAGACACAATGCCATAAAAGTAGAAATTAACAAAAAGAGGATAAAAGATATGCACCCATGTGGAAGCTAAATAACATCCTACTTGAGCACTCTTGGTTATAGAAGAAATATAAAGTGAATAAAACTTCCTTGAAATAAGAAATTACAACATATACTCGGACCAAGAGGCAGTTGTCAGAACAGAGCAAGGAGACACTACATGGTTCAAAATCAAGAAGGGGGTCCGTCAGGGATGTATTCTGTCTCCATACCTTTTCAATCTGTATGCAGAACAGATCATCCGAGACACTGGGCTATACGAAGAGGAATGTGGCATCAGAATTGGTGGAAGAATCATCAACAACCTGCATTATGCAGATGACACAACTCTGCTTGCTGAAACTGAGGAGGACCTGCAGCGCTTGCTGCAGAAGATCAAGGACTACAGCCTCCTGTATGGACTGAAGTTCAACATCAAGAAAATAAAGTTTCTAACCACTGGGCCAATTGGCAGCATCAGTATGGATGGTGAAGAGATTGAGATAGTTAATAGTTTTAGTTTACTTGGCCCCATGGTCAACACTCTTGGTAACAGCAGCCAGGAAATCAGGAGAGGAATTGCATTGGGAAAGTTGGCTGTGAGGGACCTCTCAAGAGTACCTAAGAGCAATGATGTCAGACTGGAGACTAAGGTGCGCCTGATCTGGGCTATAGTCTTCGCAATTATGTGCTATGCATCAGAGAGTTGGACAGTGACTAGGGTAGATGGAGAATTGATGCCTTTGAGCTGTGGTGCTGGAGAAGAGTGTTGAATATACCATGGACTGCTAGGAGAACAAACAGGTTTGTCCTGGAGAGGGTGAAG